GTGTCTGTCCTTTCCGGGTTGTGTCCCTCATCCGATTGGGCAGTACTCTGCGGCAGTCACTTGCGCAGCCCTGGCAAATAATGACTGCGATAGAAGGCCAGTGGCGGTTACGCCCGATTTGACAAGAACATCTGCATTTAAAGGCCCCAGTGTCGAAGGGGCGAAGGTATCTTGAATTAATCTCGAATCTTACTGATCTAGCGCTATCTGCACTCTTAGCTCTCTTTGCATCCCTTACAACTCTCCCAACTATTCTAACTTAAGCATCGGAGTATTCCCACCGGGCAAGCTCCCCGGGAATCCTTTGCCTTCCTCTTTTCAGGTACCGTCCATCGCCAGCTAGGAGCCAAGCGTCCGCCAGCTAGGAGTGTCTGGATTAAGCTGCATCATTTGGCGTCGTCTGTGGGAACGCTTCAAAAAGCCTTCCTCTAGTCTCTGTAACTCTCTCAAAAACTCAGGATTCATGGCTTCCCCTAGTAACGTCGGACGTGGTGCCTACCAGAATGCTTCTAGGGAACAACCTCAGCTCCCCACTGTTTGCATTGGACAGTTCACCGTCCCCCTCTCCGTGGACGGAGTTCCCAGATTGAACGTGCCTCACACAGTGGCACCTATGAACGCACCACTCCCTTCCACGGTTGGAGCAACCTTTACTGAACCTTCCGTTGTTCACCTAGTGAGCAACCAAAACCAGCTTGAAGACCTGGTGCAGTGCATGCGAGCCATGCAAGTTCAAATGCAACAGTTCCAATAGTTTCAACTCTACCAGCAGCAAGTGCTGCATTAAGTTTCTCAGTACCAGTACCAACAGCAGTTCCCTTCACTGCCTCATGCCCAGTAGTCGCTTCCCCCTCGACATCTGGCCTCGAAGCAAGCCAAGCCCTCCCGCCGGAGCGAACATCCTCACTAGGGAGAGGCCTCTCAAACCCAGAATCCTTCCAAAAGCCAAGCCTCATCCCACGACAGGAAGGAGAGACCAGTCACCCCCGCCTCGCAGCCTGCAGGAAGGTCGGGGGCCTCCCAGCTGGTCAGGCCCGCATCGCCTCAGCACTTCAAGCTCCTGTTTGCAGAAAACCAGTTCGATGTCCTAGCCGCAGATTATAGGCAGGGCCCTTCGGTTTACAGCTATCATTAGCAGTCCGAGCCCATCGAGCTTGGTAATACTGAAGCCAGTAGCACCAATGCCGAGCCGACGAAGCAGCAGYAGAAGCGCCGACGAGCTTGCTGAACTACTACCCGCGTCCTACCCGAGCTCAAGGGTAAGGAGGAGGTAAGCTCAGATGAAGTAAAAGCTACCCTCTCCTTTCAGTCCCTTCCCCCCTGTCATCAGAACTTCTTACGGTCCCTATGCCAAAGGACTTCAAGCTTCCTCCCCTGGATAAGTACGACGGATCCTTCGATCCGAATGACCATGTGGACACCTTCCAGTCTCAAATGCACCTGGCAAGGGCCAGTGAATCCTGTATGTGTGGGGCTTTCTCCACCACCTTCAAAGGGGTGGCTCACACATGGTACTGAAACCTTGCGCCGAGATCGATAAGAAGCTGGGCATAGTTCATGCAAGTCTTCACCTCCCACTTTATCACCAGCAAGAGGTGCCCAAGAACTCAAGAAAGCCTCATTGGCATAGTCTAGAAGGAAGGGGAGTCCATTCGGAGTTATATCAAGCGGTTCAATGACGCTTGTTTGGAAATACCTGATCTGGACCCCGCAGTTCGTCTCACTGCGGCCAAGCGAGGCATTACTCATAAAGAATTCAAGTGGCATGTGATTGTTAATCAGCCCAAGACTATGGCCGAGTTCCTCAAGCTCACGGATCGGTTTATAGGGACAGAGGAGGAAATCAACCAGAAGAACGCAAGTGCGCCCGAGAAGAGAAAAAGGGAAGGTGAGTCCTCGATTCAAGGGGACGGTAAGAAGAAAAAAGACCTAGCTTAGGGGGCAAGGCCGAGTCAGCCTTTCCGAGCTCCAGCAGCTGAAAGAACGGACTACACACCCCTGAACGCGAAGCAGGCCGAGATCCTTATGGCAATCAAGGATGCCCCGTATGTGAAGTGGCCACCTCGGCTGAAGGCTGATCCTAGTGTAAGGAATAAAAATTTGTATTGTAGTTTCCATAAAGACCACGGTCATAGCACCGAAAATTGTAAAAACCTCCACGACGAGATAGAGGAGCTCATCCGTCGCGGATATTTGAAAAATTTTGTACAAAATAATAACAATAATAATAATAATAAAGCAGGTTTGTAAGGGGAGCAGAGTAGAGATGCTCCCGAATCCAATAGGCAAGCAGAGCAACCGCAGAGGCAGCACCCGGAAGAGAGACCAGTTCGGGGGACCATCCACGTGATCGTCGGAGGTTCGATTGTCGCGGACTGCACTTCGGTTGTAGCTCGGGCATCAACTCGCAAGGCTGCCAAGGAAGAACAAAATCCCCCGAAGCGGCCAAGGACGGAAGATCCAATCTTCTTCACAGAGGACAACGCGCACGGGGTCCACTACCCCCATGATGACACGCTCATCATAAAGATAAAGATTAATGACATTGAAGTCAGGCGTGTCCTCGTCGACTCCGRTAGCTCGGCAGATATCCTCTTCAAAACAGCATTCGACCAACTCCAGCTCCAAGAAAGCGACCTGAAGCCCACGAACACTCCCCTGGTAGGCTTTAGCGGAGAGGAAGTCAGGCCCCTGGGAAGGATTACAGTACTTGTGGAAGTCAGCACCTAGCCTAGCATTGTGAGGCTCAACCATGACTTCTTAGTGGTCGCAACCCCCTCCCCATACAATGCCATAGTAGGTCGGCCGATCACCCATGCCCTACGTGCAGTGGTCTCCACTTACTACTTGGCAATGAAGTTCCCCACGGACTTCGGAATCGGGATAGCGCGAGGTGACCAGCTTGAGACTCGCAAGTGCTATGTCGCCGCCCTCAAAGGGAAAGCCAAGGTGGCCGACGACCTCGAGCTGGAGCAACCTACGAAGCAGTGCGAGGAGCGAGCTGCACCCACAGAAGAGATTGTCTCCATCCCAGCATCGGCGGAGGATCCAGCTCGGACACTTCAAATCGGTGCTTCCATAGAGGAGCCCCTGCAATCTCAATTGGTACGCTTCTTACTTGAAAATTTAGATGTTTTTGCATGGTC